CTCGACTGTCTGAGCTTGTGCGTCTTGGGTCCGTGGTTGTGTTTTTGTGTGAAGGCAGCGGAACACAGCGGAGTGCAGTTGACTACGTGTCCTCTCGAGTGCTGGTTGGGAGACAGGAACGCGCATTCCGCTTCTAGGCTCCTGGACCCACCAGCCAACCTGCGGCGGAGGGCGGGCGGGCATGCGGCGAGCGGTGACCAGCTGCGCCGCCCGCTCCCCGTACAGCGACTCAAACAGCCGGCCGACATCCGCGTTGGCAAACTGAAAGCTGCCCAGGCCGAGGACGCTGGTGCGCGCCGCGAGCTGCGGCTGCTCGCTCGCGAGGCGGAGGGCGGACATCTGCGCCAGCGCCGCGCCCAGCGACAGGCCGACGAAGACGATCTGCTGCGGCGCGTCCGCGCCACACAGCCCGGCGAGCCAGCCGCCAAGGCCCTCGCCGAGCTGGTCCAACCGGAGGGAGGAGCCGCGCGTCGAGTGCTCAGCGTCCCACAAGTCGGCGTGGTGGCGGTGCACGCCGGCGTGCACGCGCATCGCCGCGTCCGGAAGCCACTTGACGCCCACCATCGACGAGTTGAGCAGCGCCTTGATGTCCTCGGACGGCGGCGCCGCCTGCCCGCGGCCCGGCCTCGAGGCGGCGTTGCTGTCGACGCGTGTGCCGCGAAAGGCGAGAACAAGCGTGCCGGGCGTGTGGTGCGGCGCAAACGCCACGCAGCGGCCCTCGACTCCGAACACCCCGAGCACCTTGTACCGGAACGACGGCCCGAGCTTCTCGCCCTCGGCGTCGCGGATAGAGTGCTCGACGCTGCTTCCGCACGCGTCGTGCTGCAGCGAGACGGTGTAGTCGCTCGCGAGCGCCTGCAGCGCGAGCGCCTCGCCCGTCCTGAAAAGGTGTGAAATCCACGGCACGGAGGCCTCGGCCTGCATAGCGCCGCAGGCCGTGAGCTAAGTCCTCGCGTCGTCAACGATTGCCGCAGACCCTTGACCCTGCCTTGACTGAAGTTTTTTTTTGAGCTTAGCCTTCGATGTTAGGAAACAAAGCAAGGCGGACATGGCATGGCATATCGCTCTCGGGCCCACAGACATCCCGCACACCCGCCGCCACCCGCGCGCGCCCCGCCCCACCCCGGCCGGGAGAAAGGGGAGTGACAGTTTGGGACGGCGACAGCCCGAGTATGTTGAGTCCTGGCTCAACAACGCAGGTTTCAAGAGGGGGTGGTCCGGCTCACAAGTCCGGCTCACGCGCCTCGAGCTGACCATCTACCGCACTGAGCACTTCCGCCCCCTCGCTCCCAACCCATCCACCCCGCCCCGGGCCGCGCCGCGCGATCTCGGGCGATCTCGCGCTATCTCGGGCGATCTCGGGGCCGCGCCGCGCTATCTCGGGCGATCTCGGAGCGTCGCTCGCGCGGCGTCACACCTGCTCAAAAAGGAAGGAGGTTGGAGGCAGGAGGTCACGCCCCATCCAGAGCGCCGTCGTCGCCGGGTTTTTGGCCCCCGGGTCGTCGCCCGACGGTTGCTGCGCGGGGCAGCAGACCATCGGACGGCGCGACGACGCCCCGTCCGGCACGCTCCCCCCTCCACTCGGCTATTGCCGCACGAGCGCCCTCAGCGGCGGAATTTTTTTACAGTCGTCTGAAACCGACGCAAGGAGGACACAGGGGCGCGGCGCGTGCTGGCTGCGAGCGGGCGCTTGACATGAGCTCTCGCGAAAAATATGCCGCAGCATAGAGCACACAGTGTTGCCACACATCGAGCTGCGGGCCTCTAGCCCTCTACCGACTCGCCGATTGCGCAGGTGCGGCTCACGCCGCTCGCGCGTTCGGTGCTCACGCCGCCGCAGCAGGAGGCGGCGCTGGCCGCGCGCCCCGCGCCGCGGCCAAGGTATCGGCCAGTGAGGGCGGCATCGCCATGCAGCTCGTAGGCGCTTGGCCTGTCCATCCAAGCAAGCACCCACCAACCAAGGGCGGCAACTCAGAGGGAAACCAGAGGGTCCCCAGCACTTTGCGTTTCCAGAAGTTTCCAGGGAAACCAGAGGGTGTTTGGAGCTCCATTCTGTATCTCGCGAGTTTCCCGCGGGAAACTCGCGAGTTTCCCTGAGTCTGAGGGAGGGTGTAGAGGATGTAGAGTGTAGAGCGCTGTAGAGCTGTAGAGCTGTAGAGCGCTCTGGAGCGCTGTAGAGCTGTAGAGCTCTACATCCGCCGCGGGACAGAGCGATGCAGATGTAGAGCGATGTAGAGGCCCTCTACAGCGTGAAATCTCTACAACAAACTCTACATCATAAGCGGCGAACGAGGCACGGTCGCTCTCCGACATGAGGCGCGTTGCACTTGCCAGTGCTGCCCTGGCCTTCTGTCTGCCCGCCCAATGGGTGGCAGTTGCCTCTGCTGCTGTGGCATGCCTCACGGCTGCGACTGGCCGGCGCCTCGGCGCGTCAGCTCGGCTCGGCGTAGCGATCGTGGCCAGCGCAACTCGCTTGGACTCAACGCTCAGCCAGGAGCTCCCGCACGCGCTGGCGCGAGTCATGGCGCATGCAACGCGTCTGAATGCTCGCCTCGCCTCGCGCAAATGCGACCGTCCTCGCAGCCGACAGTCCACCGCCTGCTAAAGAAGCACTGCGACGAATGCGGCACCGGCGACGCATGGCAGGCTGGTCATGACGCAATCATAGGGTGTTGTGTGCCGTCAGAGTGACTCTCTGTGTGTCAGGGATAGTCAGGGCCGTCCACCAGAGCTCCAGTAAGCTCGGAGACACCCCATTAGTGCGGCTCGACCTCTTTGAGTCACTGCCTCCCCGGCGGTTTTGCTGTAGAGCCTCTACAACAAACTCTACAGCAAAATCGCGCTCTACATCGCTCTACATCTGCATCGCTCTGTCCCGCGCCGAATGTAGAGCTCTACAGCTCTACAGCGCCCCAGAGCGCTCTACATCTCTACAGCTCTACAGCGCTCTACACTCTACATCCTCTACACCCTCCCTCAGCCCTGAGTCTGAGTACTGAGAGCTGGTCTGGGGCAAAATCTGGCACTTCTGGGGCAAAATTTAGGAAATCGGCAAACTACCCGGGTATTTTCTAGGTATACCCGGGGGTTTTCCAGGTACCCGCAAAATACCCCGGTATTTTGCCGATTTGGCAGATTTGGCTTTTGGGGCCGCCCAAACGCCAGCCTCAGACTCGGCTCAGAGCCCGGGAAATAGAGGGGGCTCTAGGGAAACTAGCAGGAAACACGGAAAGGAAACAGAGGGGCGAGGAAACCCTTGGACAGGCCAAGTAGGCGCGGGCGCCGCGCTCCTCGCGACCAACCTCCTGCCGACGCCGCTCGCGGCTTTGCGCTCGGACGCCATCGTGCACGAGACGGAGACGGCCGACACGATCATGGGCGAGGCGCAGCAGAAGGACTCGGCCGAGGGCACCACCGCTGGCGGGCGGCGCGTTTCTTGTTTTTGATCGTGAGCAAAGGGGATCGAATCGAGGCAGGATCGAGGAGCCCCTAGCACTCACTTTAGCTGCGCGCTCCTGCCCCGCTAATGCGCGCTTTGCGCCTCATCGTCCTTTCGTCGTTGCTCTTCTTTGGCCCAACGCAGGCCGCTCCCGTGGGACAGAAGCAAACATTCAGGGGTAGAGCGGGAGGGACGATGCTGCCTCGCTCGATCAATCTTGTAATCGGGCCTGGGCCAAATTGGGCACGGTGCACAGCTGTCGACCATCGGAAATGGAAGACGGTTGACATGGTGAAGGAATGGGCAGACTATGTGGTGTACTTCGCCAACTTCAAAGGGTTGCCCCTCCCTGATGACTCTGTTGGCGCGATCTATGCGTCGCACACGATGGAGCACACGCCCATGCACGTTTCGCCTCGTATTTTCAAGGAGTTCCATCGCGTGCTGCTCCCTGGAGGTTTTCTGCGGGTCATCACGCCCAACCCGCGGGTGACGATGCAGCATTATCTCGCCGGCGACAACAACTTCAGCCTCTTCCAACGCCGGCGTCGCATCCAGCATAGCGGGCACAATTGGACCCCTTTTGAACTGCTGCGGTCAGATTTTCTCTCCGTCTCACACCAACCAGACCAGCTTGGAGGAACAGGGCTGGCACATCAAAATGCGTGGGACGCGGAGACGATGATCAAAGACTTTCATCGCGCTGGCTTCCGCACCGCATACGAATCCGCCTACAACCGCAGCCGGAGTGGCGAGTACTCGTTCGAGGGCCCTGGCGGCTGCCATTCAGAGGCTGACCAAGCGGATCGGTCGCTCTACGTGGAGGGCCGAGCGTAGTTTGTGGAGCTGTGGAGCTCCAATCGGGGGTACACAACGCGGGGGGGAAGCCTTACTTAGCAGAGTGAAGACTTTAGGCTCAGTATAGGGTAAACGCCTGCTCGAGGACGAGGTTGGTGACGTACGGGTCTCGTTCCACCGCCAAAGTCGCATGGCAAGACATCCAGCGCATACCGCCAGGCACACATGCTCGCTCTACGTGTAAGCTCCCACTCGGGCAGTGAGTGGCTCTCCTCGATGCTGGCCGGCATTGCTGTCCAAAGCAAGCAGACAGCACGCACCCCACCGAATCGCGGTGGTGTGACGACGCCTCTGCCGTGAGCGGCATGGAGGCCCCTACCTTGAGCGGCATGGGGAACCTGGTTTGTGGAGCTCCCGCACCTTACCTAGAGAGTACGGCTTTCGGGGCCATGATGTCGGTTCCCCATCGGACTTTTTTTGTAGTGGAGAGAATTGAGTAATCTTTCTGCTGTAACCAACACTGTCATCGCTGTCCTCTATTCAGTGCAGTGTCGCCTTCCTTGGCGCTTGGCAGGACGTGCTGTGTGTGTTGATTAGTTCTGGATCCTGCCTCGGCCTGCACAGAACAACCAACAAGTTCCTCTTGTAGCTCGATCGGTCACACCGCCATCGCCGTCGGGGAGAGGGGGGACGACACTGCTTTGGCAGCGTGCACCTCGATCCTGTACCGTGTTTGTTATGACCCCCCCCCAATGAACACACCAGTGAGGGAGGGCGAGACGATCGAGGGGTCCCGTACCATGCGGAATCGACCCTATCAAGTGCTCAAGATGACTCAAGTGCTCAAGAGTCAAGTCCGTCCGTGGCTCGGAGGGAGACTTCAAGACAGGAAGAGGGAAGGAGCGGGGCAACTGGGAATGTCAGAACCCCTGAGAGACGCTGGCCCAGATCCTGTTTTGACGCCGCGGTTGTGCCGGGGACTGCTGTGAGAGGCGGCCGCATGCATCTGAGACCTAGTCTGAGACATCCTCGCGCACGTCCAGATAGCGTGGATCGCAGTCAGTTGTTGCCTGCCGGCGGCGCCTGCCTGGGGCGTGGCCATCAACGCAAGTCCACCAAGCATGCTTGATGTACGTTTTGGTACGCGGTAAGTAATTGTTTTCCCGCGGATCCGAACGGGTCTCCGTGAACGAAGACTCGAAGCGAGCGAGGATCACTCTCTTGTTGGAGACTCTGTGGGAGCACTTGGAGTGCAGTTTGTCACCTCACACTGAGAGGGCGTATGTAATTCTTTTTCCCTGAGGCTGTTGGTCATTTTCTTCTTTTTAGTGTACTT